AGTTGTTAAAGAAATGTTGGACTGCTCTAACTTTTCCAATAAAGGGATGCACTCCTCCACCTCTTGATCAAGCAGTGGCCTCCTGAACCACAGCTCCGGATCACCTCTTGATCAAGCAGTGACCTGATGATCTTCCAATCTGTAGAGTCTTGGACAGATTTCACACAACTTCCCCACCCCACTCCAGTCATCCTCCCAAAACCTCACTCTAGAACCATCTCCCACTTTAACACTAACCGAGCTTCTGAAGTCCTGAATAAAGTTCATTATGCCCTTCCATACACTCACCCCATAGGAATTTGATACCTCCCTCAGTTCCCACCCAAATCTCACCACCCCTTCCCTACCACTACCCTTCTCCACAAGGACTCCCTTTCTTTCTCTAGCCCAAACCTCCATACCCATTTCCTCATGAGGGCTTTGTTAAAAGTCCTTATTCTTCTGAACCCCTATCCCCCTAATGAAATTTCCTAGGTCACTTTGCCCCTTCCCATAGAAAATCCCTTGGAATTTTTTCTATCTTGTTGGCAACCAAAACTAGAATTTTTAGCAATGACAGGTAGTAAGTGGGTAGACTTGATAGCACACTTTTAATGAGGGTGATTTTGCCCCCAAATGAGAGGTATCTTGCTTTCCACCTTTCCAACCTCATCACCATCCTCTCTATAAGAGGTTTCCAAGTACTTGCTGACCTATATTTGGCCCCTATTGGGAGGCCTAAATAGAAGAAAGGGAGCTCCCCTACCCTACAATCAAGAGCTGCTGCATATAGGGTCATCTCTTCTTGGCTGATCTCTCCAACTCCATAGAGAGTATCTTTTCCATATTCACCTTCATGCCTGATAACAACTCAAAGTTGGCCAGAATTACTCTTAAATTTAGAACTTGGTCCTTCGCATTTAGGAAAATAAGGGTGTCATCTACGAATTGTAAGTGGGAAATGCTTGGCCCCTCTAACCCGACATTGAAGCCTTCTAGCCAGCCCTACTGAACTCTCCTTTTTATCAACAAATTTAAGACTTCCATCACAAGCACAAATAGAAAAGGGAAGAGAGGGTCCCCTTGTCTCAGTCCCCTAGAAGTGTGAAAGAACTCTGAGGATACCCCATTAAGTATCACTGAGAGGGACATAGAAGAGATGCACCCAAATATCCAACTCCACTTCTCTCTGCATCCCATCAGCCTCTGAATTTCTTCCAAGAATCCCCACTCCACATTATCATAAGCCTTTTCTATGTCTAATTTGCACACTAGACCAGGCCTTCCACTTCTCAGTCTTGAGTCTATGCACTCACTTGCCACCATCACCCCATTTAAAATCTGTCTTCCCTCCATAACGGCCACTTGAGTTTCCCCTACCACTTTATGAAACACTTTGGGCAAGAGTTTGTAAGGACTGCATATTAAGCTGATTGGCCTATAGTCCTTGATGTTCACAGCCCCGACTTTCTTCTGTGTTAGTGTAATGAAGGTTGCATTGGCTTTTCTTTCTACCAATCTGATCTCGCAAAACTCCTTAATCATCTGCATAAAGTCATTCTCCAAAAAATGCCAGCACTGTTTTATGAAGTTAAAATTGAACCCATTGGGACCTGGAGCTTTGTTTCCATTTATCTTCTTTAAGGCCTCCCTTACTTCTCCTACCTCTATCTCCCTTTCTAACCACCCCACTACTGTCTCACTCAAGGCTTTTGATTCAACCTCTCAAAGAAATCCAGCACCACTGCCTGCCCGAATACAACTTTTTGTAGAATTCCACCACTAGTCTTTGAATATTTTCCCAATCCTCAGCCACTTCCTCCCCCACCTCTACCCTCATAATTAGATTTCTCCTCTTTCTCCCACAAGCATAAGTGTGGAAGAAGGCTGTATTTTTGTCTCCCTCTTTTAACCATAAAGCCCTTGATTTCTGCCAACTCACCTCTTCCCTGAACAGCATCTCTCTATTTCTCTTTCCAGCCCCTCCTCTATTCTAACCTCTCTTGGGAATATTTCTTTCTCTTCCAGCCTCTCCAGCCTGGCCAACTTCTCCAACACCTCTTTCTCTCTACATTCTTCGCTACCTACCTCTCCCCTCCTTTCTTTCAACTCCTCTTTCAGCAGCTAAGTTTCCTCATCAGCTTTAACTCAGCTGATCCCTCTACCTAAAAACCTCTCCACTTTTCTTCTGCCCAAGCCGCAAAGTTATGTTGAAGAAGCCAAGTGTTCTCAAATCTGAATGGCTTTGGACTAGAAACAATTGCAAATTGTCTTAGAATGATAGGTTTGTGGTCCGATAATAGAATCTGAAGTGGTTCCTGAACCAGAACTCCCAGTTGATCCACCCATTCACTTGAGAGCAAAAACCTATCCAATCATCTCAGGATTGCTGGATATTGGATATTTGACCATGTGAATTTTCCCCCATTTAGAGGGAGATCCAGAAGCTCTTGCTTGTTGATGAAAGCCTCAAATCTCCTCATCCCCACGCTGACTCTCCTTTC